GCTGGGCATGAACTGATCGCAGGCGTGCACTGGGCAACGCTGCGGACAGCCACTGGACGCGTACTGCACGCTGGCGTGCGTCACTGTACGCTGACTGACATGACAGGGGGGTTGGCGCACGCTCGCGCATCGCCAACAACTATTGGCTGCGGGCACTGGCCTTACGCGACACTCTACCGCGCAGTCCCTGCACCGTGCACCTCCTGCCGGCACGCTGCTACCGCGACATGCGGGCAGCGCACACACGACCAACACTCGTCGGCCGTCCGGCGTTTCTTTCCGACAACTTCAACATAACATAACATTACCTGACCTAACATGACTTAATAAACTGAATTTACATGGAAGGTGTTGAATTATTTAAAAGGGCCAAACGCACGTCCGCGTGCGCTCGCTATGTGCGAGCTCACGGCTCATGGCCACTTCTTCGTTAAACGTGAAAACTTCTCGAATACTTAACATAACTGAATATAATATGACTTAACTTGATCACTTATACATTAACTGTTCGACCAAATTTGCCCATAATGAGAAATAACACGGTACGGCCGTTGACACGCGCCCCGCGTGCGGTCCTTGGCTTTAAGCCAATTTCTCTACCGAACCTTTGATTTACTCAACAAATCCCACTTATCTGAACATTAGACACTTAAGAAGGACTAAAGAAACAATAAACGTTCGGGACTTGTCGGAATAAAATGAACGAATTTCGGTCTTGGCCTAAATGGCCTAAACCAAGCTTCATATGGCATAGTCATGACGTTTTCAAATTAGGAGCTGAACAATCTTACACCTACTGAACTTATAACATGAAAGAAGACTAAAGATGAAAAATACCTTTCAATTGCTCGGCGGAAAACGAAAGATGATGCGATTATTCGTCCTCGTGTGCGTGCCGTGCGCTACTCAAATTTTCCGTGCGTTGCTATGAGAAAATTGGGGAAATAAGAGGGAACTTCTTGCTGCTGAATAGTAGTATATAAGCTGAGTACATATAGGGAAATGTTGGGGGAAAAATTTTTGGTTCAAGCTTGTTTATATACTAAGTGCCGTAAGGATAGTGATGATGTAATGGAGGCGTGGCCTCTTGAGCATTAGACATTTGCTAATCAAGGAGAATGATGTGGTGATGACTAATCCTCCCCCTTAAGTAGCCACGCATGATAGATAATGTGTGGAAGGAAATTGATTCCTTCAAGCTTAGGAAAC